ACACACACACACACACACACACACACACACACACACACACACACACGCACACACATCTCTACTCCCCATCCAACTACAGAGGGGAAAATGAAAAAAAAAGTCAGATGAAGAAGTGTTTGTGTGAAGGAGGAATAGCTGGAGTCGCATTAGCGTTCTTGAGACACCATTGGCCAAAACCTTGTGAGAAGGAGACGTTACTCCTTTGCCATCAATTCACTTTTTCCCTCCCTTATTTTTACCAAACATTAAGCGTCTCGCTTGTAAAGGGTGTAAGATCGTGAAATCGCGTAAGACAGTCCACTGGCCCACCTTTTAATCAACGTGTTTGCAGCTTTTATATACCAAGGGCTGGATGAATCATAGTTCATGCTTAAGGGGGCTGAATGCCCCCACCCTTTTCCCCTCCAATTGTTGCACAGGAAATTACAAGTTTCCTCATACTTTTTAAAATGAAACAGTTTTCAGATAATGTTTATGAACATTTAAACGCATTCTGCTTATGGCATTTGCACGCAGTTATTTCCAATTTAAATATTGTCCAAGAAGAATAGGTTCTCAAAATAGAAGTTTTTCAGAAAGCACCTCCGATTTGGCAGCATAGCGATGTGAATATAATGTATGTTTTGATGCTGTGAATACGCAACTGCTATATTTATCTGGGGCAGATGAGAGTGATATTTTAATGAGTGCTCGCGGAAACCAGAATTTATATACAAATGTACCTTTGTTTTAGTCAGTTTTGAACTGTAAATCACGCGTTAAGGTCACCCACTGCGATGTGCATCGGACGTCCACGCTTCGACACATTGCACCATGTCACTGTTCGGTGCGCAACAGGAATGCGTAAACTACGATCTGCGGGCCAGATCTCACCTACGATCAGTCTGGTCTGCAAATCCACCTAGTAAATAATTACGAACCGGACCCGCACTGAGTTAATAATTAATCAAAACAAAACTGTCCGTCTTGACAACTGTACTCAATAGTTTCGGCCCAGCTGGATGCAATACATAATACATATAATAGTATATCTCATGAATGGCATTGAGAGAACTAGGGCTTTTCACCCACTTTTCTTCTGTATTTGGACTCCGACAGTAACAAATTATTAAAGGTGGGAGTACGAAGAACTTGTGCCATTTTTCAAACAGTTAAATCGAGATGCAGCTAAAGACTTCGTGATACAAGGACGAATCTGATACAGCTTGGCGTTGTGAGTAACCGTAGCTTCAGTCAATAGTATAATAACAAACTTACATTTCAAAGACTTTCTCTGCAATAGCACAGTTGTGAGCTAATAAAGGCACACAATGAGGCACAATATGGATGAACTGAAATGTACAGCGATGAAAATGAAATTTCTTGAAAAAACTGTTTTGGATTTAAACTTTTAAGTGTTATAATATACATTTCTTCATGGAGAGAAAATGTTTCCTCTTGTCCTTAAAACCTCACCTAAATATTGTCCTTGGTCTACGTCCATGTAATCAGCTCCTTGGTGTATATACACAGGGTTGGGGGTGATTTGCTGAGAATAGAGAATGGTGAGATCGCTTGTTGGAGGAGTTTAACAATACTCATTTTACATTAAAAGAACATCCGTGTTTGAACAGTGCAGACTATGATGGGGATAGGTATCGAAAAAAACAAAACAACCTTATATATTCGGATGATGTTTTTTAAAAGTAGAATGTCAGTGATAAAACTCCACAGAGTTCACTTTAGGATATATCAGTAATCCTGTCGTTCTAAAAGGCACCAGTCAATAAATCAATGCAACGCTGAAATGGTATCTTAAGAGACAGTTTGGAAGTAAACAAAAATATTACAATCCCTGGGAAATAAGTCAGGTTTTTCACTAACCTTGAAAATTTGCATGAATAAAAAGAAAAGTGGTTTGTTCTTCTACGCTTGAGGATATCGAGTGGCATTAACGTTAGCGAGTAACTAGGTGAACTTACATGCGGTCTTTTCCAGAGAACACCATTGACAATTCCACTGCTGTTGAGGTTGCTGGAATCAGGCCGGAAATCCGGATCTTCATAGAGTGTGTTGGTGTTGAGGCAAAGTCTCCTTATCGTCTCGTACTTGGTTTTGTCTGAATCTGGACTGGGTTTCGGTATATACGGATCATAGCTGTCCTCTTCGTCGCTGTCGCAACAACACAAACAACCACCGTCTGACGATTTCTTCTTCCCGGAAGACATTGTCTATGCTGGCGTGTCAGGGGAGATAAGAGTCTCCTGGAGAAAAAAAATTTAATGTGTCTGCTGAATGAAAAACGATTCTTAAAGGTTGAACAACTTGACTTCGACCAGATATTCAAATGTACCTGGCCCAAAATTTGATTTTTTAAATTCAATTCCAGTTTGTAAAATCTGTAGTATCGGTTTCATTAGCTCAAGAAATTATAAGACGTCAAAAAAATTCAAATTTCAAATCTAAAAACAAAACAAGGAAAGGTGCATGATGTAAGTACCATTGTTTACAAAAAAGAATGGGTTTCCTTTTCTCTCCTGAACACTTTTGTTTTCTGGACTGAGAGCAACCGAACACCTTGCCGACGATATTCCTCTTAACACTGGCGCACTAATACCAGACGTGGCATCTAAACACAGCGCACATAAGAAAGATCACTTCTTGGGAGATTTAATGCCTCCTAAAATTAATAACGTCACAAGGAATAGCTGCATAAGGAACGGAACTGTCCCTAACAGAGATAAACCGGCCGTGGAAGAATTAATAGGTTCACTCACCTAATGAGAGTGCCCCCCCCCCCCTCCGCCCACCCCCACCCTCTGAAATTGAATTATTAGGAAAATTAAATGAATAAAAATATTCTTTTAAATATTTTTTTAAATCATGCAACTGCGCGAGAATACAACGCAAGAAAATCGGGTTATAAAGGCAGATGTAGACCAAGCAAAACTTGGCTGGATAACGTCAAAGACATCCTTCAAAACAGTATCATATCTACAAAAGACGCAACCTGCCTAGCCCTTGGTCAAAAATTGCACCTGCCCTCGACATCTAACGTTACAAGAGGAAGGAAAAAGTAAATGGGAAAGAACACAAGAACCAATGCGCTTTCAAGACTACTACAAAGAGGGAGGGGAGATGGTTGGTAAACGTACAGAAGGACTGCCATATTTGGGTGGTATGGCGTTGGACTTGAGAAAGGCAAAATTTTAGCACAATTCCAAACTCCATCGAGCAACACATTGTATGTTTGAAGTGGGTAAATTACCCCTTTGTCAACAGTCTATAAAACTGCATAAAAGAAATGAATTATACGCAGAGACAGAGCAATTTGAATGATAATGGTATTTGCCTACAAGTGGCATACCGTATTCCCCTAAAGAAACAGAATGAGAATGTGGAAAGAACAGGTCGTCCAAAGGAGTTATTGTACCGTCGGGTGATAATGCGTCTTGACTGGCTGCACGATTATTACAACAATGAAAGCAGGGGGAATAAAGAGACACAAAGACGAAGTGGTTTTCCAATGCAAGTGAATAACCGCTGAGTAGAACTTGGAGTGTACTCGTTTGGTATTCTAAAGCAGTGGAAAAGGGTGTGGGAGTTGGGTAGGCAATGAGTCAGATCACAATAACCTTTCGATCTCTAGCTCACTATCTCTAGCTCACTATCTCTAGCTCACTATTTCTCGCCCACACACATTCTTGATGTCCGGCGAATGAGGTGAAATGGTAAGTCTCTTGCCTATTGCACACAGAAGATATGGGTTTGATTTTCTTGCTGGGAAATTATTGTCTTGGACATCTTAAAGTATCGGCTGAAATACTGTACGCCAATGTGGCTGAGTTACCCACGGCATGCAGGGTGGCGGTAACTTGTCTCCATCAACATCTTAATTGTGTCGATGGTCCCGTTTAACATTTACAGTGAAACAGAATGATAATGACACATAGAAGTAATCGCTATTATCAGCTCTTTCAATCACTGACTTAAATTTATATTTTCACATTCATTCACCCACCCTTTACTTTAACCAATTCACTGAAACACATTTTATTGTTATAGTTGGGCTCATTATCATTGGTGGTGTAAATACGCAGTTACCCACTTTCCAGTGCTGATCTTTCAAAGTTGAGTACCAGCAGCACATGAATTCAAATATACGAATCCACTAGTTATATATCTAACAAAATACTCCTTCACTTGTAACATACAACGTAAAACCACACCTTTGTTGATCTCCCACGTCTTCCAGTCGCCACTCCAGATTAACAAATCAACAAATTACTTTGCTCTCAGACCGAACCGCTTACACTTTGTTTAGCGTTGTGCATCTATGCATACCATCAAGTTGTTTATTCTGTTGTAGAGCCTAACTCTCTAAACCTTCATCACAAAACCAACCAGGCACATCCAGAGCAAGAAGCCGCAGGCATATAACTGTAGCTTAAGCAACATAGATGTAAACTTTTTAACAAGTTCAACATTATGCTTTAGTATATAAAGGCGCTGTGTGTTTGGCAAGACTTTCAAGACTGAGCTTGGTAAATGTTACTGAAGTTTAATGGCTTTGCGGAGTTTTAGTGGTTATATCTCGTCAAGAGTTAGTTTGGTCTTTGCGACGTCATATTTTTATTCCGTGATGTGACCCAGTTAAACTTCAAAGTAAAGTTAATAGGCTACTTGAAAAATATGTCACTGACGTGAGATCAGTAGTGCGTGGTGTAAAAGAGTTAAACAAAAAGGAAAAGAGTTAACACTATTTGAGCCACTTCTCTGATTTTATTTCTTAGCGTCAATGTTAGCAAAAGATTTTGAACATTGACAACAAATTACAGGTTGAATGAATTGTTCGAATTGATTTCACGCCATTCGCAAGTTTTGAATGTGACCATCACCTGGTTAAGTACATAACAGGTCATTTCACAGAGTGAACAATGTGACAAACCCATTAGGTGCAGTGTGAGAAAAATATCTGACACAATTATTTTTAGCTTTAAAGTTCATCACACATGAGAAACATTAGTTCATTGTGAAAAGAAAGAAGTAAGAGGACTTTATTTTGTCTCAAAATGCCATGTAAGGCTTGAAGAACAATCTAGAGAGGGCTAGAGAAAGAGAGAGGGAGAAAGAGAGACAGAGAGAGAGAAAGAGAGAGAGGGGGGAGAGAGAGACAGAGAGAGAGAGAGAGAGAGAGAGAGAGAGGGGGAGGGGGGGGGGTAGGAGATAGAGAAATTCAATATTGGAACTGCGCAGAGCACGTGTGTTTTCTGTCATTGTAAAGCGCATATCGCAACTTCTTAGTTGAAAAGAGGCATATGCTTAAATGTATTCCCATTAATGTGTTAATTTAATTTATTATTATAGTGACAATTGCCCGAGTCTGACCATCCTGACCCATTCATGCGGTTTAGTCAGACTCGTGCATTGCTGGGAAACGATACGTTTCAGGTTGCCGATAGCGACTCGTTTTTTAATACATGTGTAGAAATTAGTTCTTTAAGATTAGAAGATGCCTGGTTTTTAACCAGGCTTTAAGGGAGATGTTATGGTGTGCTTCTGACCACTACCAACGATAACAAAACAAAACAAAAACAGAACTCAATAACAAGAAATGTATATAAGAATAAACATGTATCTATTACTGTTTCTTCTGGTGTAGGTTTACACATGTGTTCGGGAATCTAGTTTCGTGGCCCATTCTGACAACCCGACGCATAAAAACGACACTGAGATATGGCGGACCATGCTGAGAGGCTCTATCTGCAGTATATTCAAGTCTTAGAAGGAATCTTTTTGCTCAGCGTTTTGTTGATGTATCCCTGTCAACATTCCTAGTCTGACACATTTCCCGCTTGTAGACTTTTAGGGGCATGCATTGGCAAGGAGTTTACCGTATAACAAGTGTGAACAAATTCGTTGAGTAAGTTAATGGTCCGTTTGTGATGTACCAGAGTATGAAAGATACTGTAAGGAAAAGGGAGAAGTGGGTTAAAGAGCAAAGGGGATAAAATAAAAGGTGACAGAGATTGGCAAAAGTATGGGAGAGAAAGAGAAATTCAAATAGAAGGAGCAGACTTCATCCTCTCTGTTTCTCCCTTTCTCTTCCCTCACCAGTCATTCTCCCCCCTCTCTCTCTCTCTCTCTCTCTCTCTCTCTCTCTCTCTCTCTCTCTCTCTCTCTCTCTCTCTCTCTCTCTCTCTCTCAG